CCCCCATCCCCAGCACAATGCCCTACTGTTAACCAGGAACATGGCTTAATTCAACACACGAAACTAAATAAACTTTTCTCACTGAGTAATCTTAAAAATCTTTAACCTACTTGCAAGCAATACTGCAACATTCTACACGGTCCAATAGCAACTCTCAGGCCCTCTAGGGCTCCCATAACAGCCTGGATTACATGGGGAGATGTCTCAAACACGTTAGGCCATACATAGTTCAACAAGTGATTCAACGAATCTTCACAACCAAATCCATAAACCCCAAGTGACATGTGTTGTACCACCGCACTAGCCGTCTGTCTGTGTACAAGGTCCCTGCAATGAAAGGGAAAAAAATCTTCTTAGTAGTCTTCATTTTACAGGAAATATTCACCTGCCAATTAGAAACTAAATTACTAATTCAGTGCATTAAACAGATAGATATGAAGCCATCCTAAAACCTCATGTATCTAATATATTCCTTAGAATATGATTCCACAGGAGGACTTGTACTTTAAGAACTCAAACATCACTATAGCTCAAAAATTAAGCCATGTTTTCTAATTAACTTTTTTTTTTCTTTGGAGTCACAGACTCACTCCATCACCCAAGCTGGAGTGCAGTGGCATGCTCCATCACCCCAGAGTCGACCTGCTGGGCTCCGGTGATCCTTCCACCTCAGCCTTCCAAGTAGCCGGAACTATAGGTGTGCCTGACTAATTTTTTATTTATTGCAGAGAAGAGGTCTTGTCTTGCCAAGATGCCTGGACTGGCCTCCAACCCATGGGCTCAGGCAATTCATTCACCTCGGTCTCCCAAAATGCTGGGATTATAGGCTGAGCCGAGTCTGGCCTAATTAACTTTTAAAAGGAACATGAACAAGAGTGCTCAGTGCAATCTTAGTTTTAATAAGCTACTAAAGAAGAGAAACATGGCTCACATATATAATAAACAAAAAATCTTTAATTGTAACTCAGATACTGGTATGCAATAGTAATAGGCAACTAAACCAAAAAAGTAAATCCTTTCTCATGTAAATTTTAAGTTTCATCCAAGAAGAACTCAATTTGGGGAGAGGAAGATCAGTAACTTTTCCAAACTTACAAAAATAGCTATCATCTCCCATGGTAACTAAATTTATGTTTATGACAAATCAATGAGTTATTAATTCCACAATTATTCAACTAAGTATAAGCCTCAGCTAACACACTAGGATTTGTGATGGGGATAAACATGAGTCCCCCACACTTTGTCCCAAAGACAGTAAGAACATCTCAAACATATAGGAAAAAAAGACCTTTATTTTCCATATTTATTGTCATAATGTCTAATTTATTCAGGATGAGAGTGAGGTAGTATTCCTTGCTAATACATTTTCCAACTACAGTACTGTTTCTCTTCATTAGTCATTTCCAGTGAAACTACTACCTCAGCAGACTGATGCACAAGTATAACAGTAGGCTTTTACAGGGCACAAGTCTTATTTTGCCTCCATGTCTTACATATATACCTTCTGGTAACTTGTTGAGGCTGGTTAAGTCTCCCTTTTAGCAGGTCATTAATGACTAACTTTGATCTGTATGAAAAAGTTACTGGGTTTGAGTAACTTCTCTCTCTTGAAAATTAAAGAGCCAGTGACACCATTGCTTCCCTTACTATTTGGACCTTGTATTTTCTTTCACACTTTCTTCAGTTCCTTTTGCGTTGAAGGTTCTATGTCAACCTAAATGGCAAAGGGCACTGGGAATCTATCAAATAACTTGGGCACTCCTGCACTGATGGTCACCTTCTGAACCACTGGGGCCTGCCATGGAAGAGTAGTTCTGGCAGGTCATGTTAGTAGTTCAAGGACTGAAGAGAACCTGTGCCTCACCTGCAATAAGAAGCTAAAGAGATCAAGTCTCTTGGCCATATCAACTAGCTCATGTTCATCATTTCCTCTGGTTATAGTTGACTCATTTTTAAAATAAGTGTTGATCAATCAGTGCTTTTCAAAATGCTTTTAGTCTAACAGACATGAAAGGTGATTTAAAAGGGGTGGGGAAACTTAGAAAACATTTGGGAACCACTACAGCCTACACATTATTTTAGGTCACAAGTTCTAATTACAGTGTCATCAGAATCCAGGCTAGTATTTCTTCTTTAACCACCTCACAACAAAGAGGCCACCTAATAAGAATTTCAGTAAGTTCTAAAATAAGAGTTACAATTATTGCCTTGTATGCAGGTCAAGCCACTTACCTATCCATTAAAGCGTCTTCAAGTAGTGGTGTTACTGCATAAATGTAGTCTTTCCCCATCTCACCAATATATTCAAACAAGAAGGAGAGTGACTTCAACACTCCATTCTGAACATTCAGCTCAGGAACTCTGTATTCATTCATTAAGGCAGGCAGCACTGTGAAGGGTGAGCATGTTTCTGCAACAATAGCTATTGCTACAGTAGTGCAGACTCTGTTCTGCCTCTCCTGAACTTTGAGGTTGTTTAAAAGTGTAGCCAGCACATCATGAGGGCTAAAGGAAAACAAACACATCAGCAAACAGTTACATTTCAGGGCAAAATTGTTGGAGGGAAAAAATGCAAAAGAATAGAGTTTAATAATTATAGGAAACTCTGTAATTTTGTGATAAAATGCAATACTTGAAAGTCACTGACATTGTTTTTCTGTTTTTTTTTTTTTTGTGAGTTGGAGTCTCACTCTGTCACCCAGACTGGTGTGCAGTGGCCGCTCCCGGCCACCGCAGCCTCGACCTGGTGGGCTCCGGCGATCCTTCCGCCTCAGCCTTCCAAGTAGCCGGAATTACAGGCATGCAATAAAGTACTCTTTGTTTTATGTAATACACCTATTGAGATGCTTTTTCCACTGCTCAAAACAGTTTTTGAACGTGTCAATTTCGATGCCTTTTTTTGCTTCTGCCGTTTTTGTTTCACCTCTTCCACATCAGCAAAACATTTCCCTTTGAGGACTTTCTTTAGCTGGGGAAACAAACAAAAAAAAGTTGCTCGAGGAGAGATTGGGTGAATAGGGAGCGTAAGGCATGGAGGTCATGCTGTTTTTGTCAACCACCCATCATAAAATGGGCAAACGCAAGGAAATAATTTCCAAAAAAACAACAAAAAAATTCACTGAAGTCAAACGCAACCTCTCACAGCTATGCTAGCTGGTACACTGATGTTGATGGGTTCCTAGAACACTTACTTAGCAGAGGGAAGTCTGTACTATAAGGGGCCTGCCCTCTAAACAATAATTCCAATTTTTTTCTGGATCTCCCCTCGGATAAACAGAGCTGTGACTTTTTTCTCCATTTTAAGTTGGTCATATAGTATTCCTCTAAACAACTTTAGATGTGAGCTGAGGAATGGGTGCTGGTGCAAATGGACTAAGTGTCCGGAAAATCTTGGCTGCCTGATTATGTAGCTTACTTGTGCCCTTTGGTTTTGTTTTATTTCTTTCCTTGTACTCTTTCCATCTTATAATGGATTGCTGGTGAACTTACCTGGCTTTATGACTTGGAGAGTCCTAGTGAACCCAACTCATTATGGAAAGTTAGGACACATGGTGCCCCATAATCAAGCATGAGCTCTTTTCCAGGATCCAGTAACACACCAGGAGCTATTTTTCTAATAGCATGACTTTTGTGCAGACCTCTAGGAGCCTGTATTTTGATGTATCCTGCTGGTCTTGCTATAAAATCTACACTGCATCTTTTACCAACATTTAAACCTCCAACAACATAGGGACTGCTTGAACTACAACCTGGACTTGCTAAAGAGTTGTTTCCTCCACTGAAAACTGGCAACCTTTCATGTCATCCAGTATATGGGCCACAGTAGTATTCCTCTAAAATCTGAAGAAGCCTACCAGACATTGTGCTTCCATTTGCAAGATGTAGTGGAAGTTGCAAGATGCAGCAATTTGTCTTTTGCTTTGAAGGGGATGTGTTGGTATGACCCTGGCCATTGGGCTTTTAAATCGTCATTGAAATGGCAGATCCCTGTTTGCAGTGTTTTTCTCTCTCCTTTTGGAGCATGTATGCATATATCTTACCAAGTCCTTCAGCATGGTAACCATCTCTTGCTCATCTTGCAAGATCAACATGATGTCATTGATGTAGTGGATCTGTGTGCTGTTCTGAGTCCAGATATCTTCAGACTATACTATGACAGTGTGGAATTAACATAGCTCTGATGAAAACCTGTCAATGCATATTACTATATATTCCATGTAAAAGTAAACTGTTTCTGATCTTCTTATTTGCCATATCAGTGGCTACATGCCATATATCTGAGGCTATATTTATCTGCTGTAGCAAGCGTACTACATCTAGCATGGCAGTGTAATCATGGCTACTATTTGATTGAGCTTGTGGTAGATCCAGCTGGTTTATGCAGGTGCTAGGTTGGTGAATTAAATGGACAT